TTATGATAGTCATTAGAAAGGCACCATCGCAAGTCAATTTGTATTGTTTGTAACATTATTACAACATTTTCCAAAGGCCAAACACATACACAACCCTTCAAACTTGCCCTATTTTTCATTTTGGCATTCTAACTTAGCCTTGTTCCATTTAACCCTTAAACTCCATTTTTTTTGTACCATTTAAACACTTATACTAATTTTTATGATTTGTTTTTATTTATGTTCTTCAATTGCAATTTCTTATTTTAAAAAAAATAGACGTGTGCCTGTTAATTTTCGTAAAAAAATTAAACATTCGCGAACGAACATAAAAATTTTCAAAACAATAATATTATTTTTTGAGATTTTTCTGTATTTTTGCATGAAAAAAATTTGACGAAAGTTCTTTGATTTTCTTTCTTAAACATTCAATTAAATTAAATAACACTATTTATTTATTTTTCTTATCATCTAGGCTATCTAAATTTAACGTAAATACTCACTTTAATTTTAATATAAATCAATACGAATAAAAAACTCATCTTCAAAAAGACTCGACTGACTTTGTTAATAACACTACAAAAAAAAAACTCTTGTTCATTGCTAATAACACTACTAAACAATGTTAAAACTCGACTGACTTTGTTAGGTTGTCAGTGATTTTAAAGAAAGAAAACGAACACAATTTCGTCGGTTATTTTTCACACAAAAATACATAACACTCTTAAAAAGAAATTATTATTTTTTAAAAAGAATTATTTTTTGTTAATTTTTAATTTTTTTTAACTTAAAATTAACTGACACATGTCGATTTAAAATAAAAAGTTGCAATTGAAGAATATCTATAAAAATCATAAAAATAGTATTTCGTGTTAAAATGGTACAATAAAATGAAGTTTAAGGGTTAAAATGAAACAAGGCTAAGATAAAATGTCAAAATAAAAAATGCGAACAAGTTAGAGGGGCTGCATATGTGTTTGGCCTTTTCCAAAATAGGCATGCAGTACATGCATGGTAACTGAGACTATTATTAACACAAAATTTTGGCCAAAGTTATATATTAACTTCTTCCGAATTCATAACTTCAAAAGTAAATTCGCCTTGAGTGAATAATAATCTTCTAGAGTTCTAGTGTGGACTTTTATTTACGATATGGTGTTTGACTGTTTCACTAGAAAATTGTTAGTATTTTTTTCAAATTATTTTCACTAATTTATTAACTGCTAGACCATGTATGTCCTTGATGTTAATTTCTTTTCTTTTCAATGTCCTCATGGTTCCTTACGACTTTAAGAGACTTGAAATGAAACTATGATTGTAACACACACATATATACTTCAAACAAGTGCTTTATAAACAGTACATGTGACATGAAAAGGTTAGGCACTTTAATGTAAGAGGGAAAAAAGATCATATTTGTCCAAAAAAAAAAAGAAGTGGGGAAAAGATGCTCAAAACGAAAAAGCAAAGTGCATAGCATATATATTTTTTTGGCACTTGGTGTTTGATATCCATATTGGAGCTTGACTATTCTGGATTTGCATTGAATAGAGCCCCGTTCAAGCGGAAGCCCTCCCTATTCAGAATTTTTCTATACTCAGAGCTCGAACTCAAGACCTCTAATTAAGAGAGGAACAATCTCATTCACTGCACCACATCCTTTGATGATAAATGATTATATATACTTTTAAAAAAATAGAACAAGAACTAACTACACTATCAATATAACAGAAAATACATCTGTCACATCCAGGGAAATTAATAACAAATATACTTGATTTTGTAATATAATGCAGAAGCCACCAACTTGGAAAATAATAGAATTGTGGAAAATTCTAATTAAAAATGAATCTCTAAAATTCTAGAAAGACCACATAGTTGACTTGTCTATTTTTCAAATTTAGTCAATATATGCTATTAAAAATCCTTAGGTGACACTGCAGCAAAAATGACATTTAGTGAGTAATAGATTTTTTTAGCGGTAATATTTATAATCGTAAAAATATTTTACGATATGATTTCAATATAATTTATAGTTAAGGCGCTAAAATCTTTAACATCACTTATATAGAGTGTTAATTATAATATTTAGTGATAATTATATTATTATTGACGCTAAATAATTACGGCAAAATATTTTATGGTAGTGTATATGCTCACTGTATTCTTGTATGGGCTGATCACACTACTTTCCCTCTTTGGCAGCTCCTCATCATTCATAATTAGCTTGGCTGCTTTACCACCTTGTTTTACATTAATAACTACGTACTATATAGTATATATGTTCGGTTGTATAATAAAAGAAACATATAATTGAATAAATTTAAGTATACATTTTTAAATACCCAGGACTCAAGAGTTGAGTTAGAGTTCCAATATTAATAACTTAGACCAAATTTTGGTATTTCTATTATTAAATACGCTTAATATTATAAATATTTTTTCTAAATTAAACTCAGTAAGTAACATTTTTTATAATTTAAATTTTATAAACTTAAAATTTTAGATTTCTCTATGTTCTTAACCTTTTGATCAGTAAGAATATATATAATATATATTTCTCTTTGTAATTACTTCTATAATAATCCATAGGATTAATTAGCACTATATGTGAGTATTGGTTGGATTAAAGATACTCATTCCATTCATTGATTAATTAAGTAAACAAGAAAATCTTTTGAAGATTGAACAAGCTACAAATTACCAAGAGAATTGAAATTAAGTCCGGTCTGATATACTTTTATTTAATAAAATAAGAATAAAAACATAAATAATGTCTTTTATATTTTAATTATTAATTATCTCGTTGAACTAATTAAGTTAGGTCCGACATATTATTTATTTGGTTTGAGATTGGATTGCACAAAACGTACACCAATAAATAAAAAAATTATTCCTCCAAATAAGAATACGAATCCAGAAACTTCTTGAAATAATAATTTGATACAAAGTGTTTTGCAATCTAATTAGTTGAGTCTTAAGAGTGGAATCCCTTAAGAGTGTATCTTTACTAGATCCATGAAAATATGGTCAAGGATGTGCCTCACAAGTTACTCCTTCCTTCTGTCTCAATTTACATGAGATTTGATTTAATTAAACACAAAATTTAAATATGACAATTTTACAAAGTTTCATCATTATTCTTAAAATTTTAAATAGAAGAATATATCTTTATAGATTTTTTGTCAAATAAGTAAAAGTCAACATAATTAAATATTGATTGAATTATTAAATCTTCACCAAATAAGGAAAGTTTTCATTTGTTAATATTGACTAAAAAGAAAAGTGTGTCATATAAATTCAGGAAAACAATTATTATTCTTTCCGGCTCATTTTATGTGAAAGTACTACTATTATTTAAGAAATCAAATCATTCTTTTTAGTTTTTACAATAATTTTTTCAAATTTCTTTTTAGAATCATTAGCTATGTTGACTTGTAGTATTTTTCATTTTAGTTGTTAAATATGTGACTGTTATTTTAAAATACTTAAAGAATCTATACTTGAATTCATAGTGAAAATTAAGTGTTTTGACTCTTGTACTCAAACCTCTTCATAAAATTGGGACAGATAGAGTACTATATATCATACTATTAATCTCTCTATTTCAATTTTTTTGGTCTTACTTTCCTCTTTATTTTGTATTAAAAATAATGTTTTTTTTTTTTACAATTCTTTAATTCTAACTTCCCACTTATTATGTTTAAGAGCACAATACTCCAAAGTATTCTTTACTTTCTTAAACTCTGTAGCAAATCAAAATCAAATAAACAAATGAAAAAAAAAAGCATTATATTTCATCGATCAATTGTTTATATTTATTTTATGAAATTATTTTTTATATATACAAATTTAAATGAACTCATAACTTACCATCTACGTCAGCCCCCAGTCTAGAATATTGGAACACTTTTTTTCCTCTTTTTAATTTTTTAACAAAAGAATGCATCATCTCTTAGGTAAGCAAGAGACTAAATTAATTGAGAATATTACAAATTAGAAAAGACTAAATAGATCCACTTATTAAAATATTTTATATATATATATCTTCCAGGAGGCGTTTTTCTTTGAAGGTTCACCAAGAAATTCCAAAGAAATTGGTCTCTCTAGTTTCTTCATCATCACGTGTTTAATTTGTATTCTTCTCAACTATTTATAACTTTTATACGGAAAAGTGTAATATCTACCCTTATATTTGAATATATTTACTTTTAAAGTCTATTTGGATTGATTTAAAAAAATAGTTTTAAGTTAAAAATAAAAAATTAAACTAAAATGACTTTTAAGTCAAAAAATAAAAAGTAGGGGAGACCTATTTTAGTTTTTGACTTATTTTAAGTCATTTTTAACTTATTTTAAGTTATTTTTTATCATGTCAATATTTTCTAACTTATTTTAAGTCATTTTTTACTTATTTTTTATACTTGTCAAACATTTTCAAAAGTCAAAAACTGACTCAAAAGTAGATTTGACCAACTTTTGAGTCAATCCAAACACACTCTTTAGGTCATATTTACTCATAGTCTACTTGCATTATTGGATCGTTGAAATTGTTTGGTCAAAATTGTAAGATCCATGATGATTTGAGACATATTTTGTTATTTTATTTTATTTTCCTTCTCGTTTTCTAGTTAAGAAGTGAATTATTTAAAATTAGCATAACTTGTTCCACATTTAGTAGCATTTTAGTTATTTGGTTACTAGTTTACAATGCAACGTAATTAAAATATCAATTATGAGTCAAATTATATATTATTTTAGGCGTGATAGTAGATTAAATAACTAATACATAAATAACTTAACATTGTATAACTAATCTCTGCAATACTAATATTTGCATAAGTCCAACCAGCGACCGAACAATCACTTAGTATTTTAAACAACTTTGTAAAAGTTGTATTATTAGCAGAATGATGTCACAAAAAATGACTGATCATAGTATATAACAAGCTATCCCCACAAAATTCAAAAAATGCTCTAAGGAAAAATAATTCATATCCAAAAAAAAAAAATTAAAAAAATTACATAATTGAACAAGCATTTGCATTTTCATCACTGAACATAGTATATAACATGCTATCTCCACAATATCCAATAATCAAAGCATCTGTAATTTCTCTTGGATTTTGTTTCATCAATTGTAAAGCCCCTTCTTTTTCTTCACTTTTTTTCTTACTCTCTTCTTCTTTAATCACCATTTCCACTTTCTTCCCTGTTTTCTTCTTAAGTTTCTTCAACACTTTATTTGCATTCATTCGACCCTTTACTATCACTTTATGATTATTCATATCCGTCATGAATTCTTCAACCCCTAAAATATCATAAAAGAAAAAGAGCCAATACGCATTTTTTCAGTAATTCTGAAGAATCCGAGTAACATAGCTAAAAAAATCAAAAATTGATAACTCACAAAAATTGTTCAAATTAGTTAAAAGAGGAAAGAGAGAGTACCTTTGATTTTGGATATGATTTTGGCAATTTGTTTTTCGCATCCTTGGCAATACATTGAAATTTTAAATTCTGCTTCCACAACCTATATATAAATTCATCAAAATTAATAAAATTTCACAATTCTATATGGACAAAAATGTATTATACCAAAATATAAAGAAGAGGATTTATATTTTTGAAGTTACTTCGTCTGGTTTCTTTTTCTTTTTTTCTCCCATTGCAAGTGATGAAAAATTGAGACCTTTAATATTCAAAAGTCGGTTATAGCAGTTATTCTGAATTTTCCACTATTTTTATTAACAACGAAAAGTCGCAACCGGTTAAGTTTTCTATAATATGGTCATTTTATTATCTTTTTCAAAAAAACTTTTTATATTTCCTTAAATTTGGTGATATTTTTATTATTATTATTTTCCTATTTGCAAATTATTAACCAATATGCCAATTAACAAATTTAAAATTTTAACTACTTTTTTTTCCCTTAATTTGTATGTAAATACTACCAACTTTTTTATCTTTAAGATAATCTTATCGAAAAAATTCCAGTGCGCCTTAGTTCATAGCGTAGGAAGCGAAGTTAAAATAACTTCTCAAAATAGAGTATTCAATTCAACAACACAATCAATATAATTTCATAGGTGGGGTCTATGAGGGTCAGGGGTGGAGCTATTTAGTACGGTGGTGGTGCCACGCCACCCACAACCTTCGACGAAAAGTTTATGCATATATAGGTATATATATACATATACAACATATAGATAACTATTAAACGTGCCACTCACAGTACAAAAGTGCTCTGTGGTGCCGATGGTAGAAGGCTAAATATTTGAGCATTAGGTTGCGGGGATCAAACCCCCTTGACATATTTTGATTTTTTTCTTTTTTAAAACTGCTGGAACGTTTAAGTGAGTTTAAGGCTCCTCTCATAACCAGTTTTTCAACCTTCTTTTTCTTTTTTTCTTTTAACTATTGTTCCAAATTATTTTAGTACTTTTCTTATCTTTAAATAATTTTATATTTATGAAATCTAGCCTAATTCATCCTACTTTTAACATTTAATATTATTTTTCTATCCTATATTAATTATTTACATTACTAAAATATTTGTCAATTAACAAAATTAAACAATATTTTTTTTATTTTCATTATCCTAACAATTAATTTTTCTTGAAAGTGTAAACAAAGTTTGTAAAAATTTGCAAAAAATGATCTTGAAGTAAAATAGTAAATTGTCATTTCTGTTTATAATTTCTTAAGAACACGGCAAAAAAAAAGTTAATAACTAATACAAAAAACGAATGGGGTATAATTTTATTTTTTTTCTCTTCTCAATAATTTGATAATTTCATAAACACTTAAATGCATCAAATATACTCCAACAAGAAAATATAATGGAAAGATCATCAGTGATCTTCACAAATAATTACATGAGTCTTGGTACTATTTTCATGTAACCCAAAATCGAAAATCATCCATAAACTCCTACAATCCTACATATATACATGCTCTCTCAATTTATATGATATCTATTTATTCTTGAAATTCAAGCTATGTGAGGCCCTCAACTATCATTAATTTTTTCGTACACAACCTACAAACACTTTTTGAAAAAAAATTATAATTGTTGTTTATTCCTATTTTATTGATTGATTTGTCAAATAGATCGAAAGACGAATAATTCAAATCAAACATAAAGTTGAGAAGTTGAGTTAGTCTACTTGGCAACCATAGACTCTAAATCCTGGATCCGCCTCTGGTGAGAGTAGAGTGTACGCAACCTTACTCCTAACTAGCAAGGATAGAGAGGTTGTTTCTAATCGATTATATTTTCAACAGACACGAAATAATTATTTATTTTTGTGAAAGGTCGGAAAGATGGTGTCTAAAGAAAATTCAGGAGTCAAAGAGAATGTAAATGAGAGATTCGACTTTACAGAAGCAAAATATTCCCAGTAAACCATATTTTATACTACTATTGATCTGGAACAGTAAACACCAAAAACATTTTCAGCCTAGATCAATACCAACATACAAAGAACAAATATCTTGCGCAGCGTAAATCACATGCCTATTCCAAATTATCGGCATCAGTAGGCAGCGGAGCAAGAACCTTAAGTCTGCACTACAAAGGTTTCAAAAATTATATGGTGTTGGAGTAATACACTAGTTTCAAAGAAACATTGGTATATATACCTATTTTACAATAACTTCTTTGTGGGCTTTATATGACAGTATGACATTCCACACTAAAGCTATGAAGTTAGCAGCAAGGACCTGCAATCACAGGAGATACAATAGAAAACAATCAAGTTGGTTATGGTAAAATAAACTATAAATACTCACTGCAAACAGACGTTTGGTTACAATTAGAACGTCAACGGATGTCAAAGGAGTGCATGACTACAGCTATTATTTGTGTGTGCAGCATGTGAATGTATAAATAATCAGAGTGATCGAAGAAAGAAGTTCAGGTGTCAAGTTCTTTTTTATTGCTAAAAGTAACCATCTGAATCTGAATCTGTGCTTTAGCGGAGTCTGCACACCCCAAAACACTTCAAGTAGAGCTTGAATTGCTACTTCGGATTATGTTAGTTAATTGATGAACTCTTTACATGAATGATTGGGGACTTTTTCCAATTCATATTTACAGATCAACTTTTTGAAGAGATATCTCCAAACGACTAGAAGCTGACAGGAAGGCATGCTCTTAACCAAACAAAATGATGAAAGTGTGTTACCTGAAATTGCTGAGGCACAAACCGGAAGTTGAAAAATTGAAAAGGTATCCAAAGTTGCCAATTTGCAAGGACAGATGAGAACCACTCCTATTACAAAATGTAATTGTGAATCAGAGTGCAGGAAGAGTAATTATCAGTATGCATCTATTTAATGGCTCATTTCAGTAAGAAATATGAACAGAAGGCCATTTAGAATACCTGTTGAAGCTTTGGAATCACTTGTGATGATCTTCCCTCAAGTGTTACCAAAGAGGATAAGAAAACACCGACAAAAATTGGAGCAAAAAGGAACTGTACCAAAGCAGCTCAAATTCAATGGTGATATCACAAAGGCAGTAATTACACCAATAAACAAGATATTATCACAAAATGGAAAGGAAAAAAAAAAGAGAAGGAAAACCTGATCTAGTACAAGACGCATGAGAGTACCAGTTACCCCTGGAGTTGTGACCAATCTACTCAGGTAGAGGTACCTAAATATATCAGAGTCAGAAGACAAGGAGCTATTCTACAATGTCATTAGGACCATTTTACGCCTACACGTTCACCAAGCAAACAAGATATACACCCATATTTGGTAGATACATATAACTTTTAGCAAGGCAAGGAGCTAAATAATATTAAAACATTAGTAAATAATCCTACATAAGTATTGAAGTAGCTCATTAATGACCAATAGAAATCAGCATGTGATTGCACTTATAATATGGATCGGTCTACAGTATCATTCAAACCTTCAGATGAAAGTCGGGTGAAATAAATTTTTATAATGTCAAAGTAAATTGATAGAGCAAACACATGAAACTAATTATATAAAAATACGACTGCGCTCATTAACTTGTGTCTTCATTCCCTCAAAAGTAAAAATAGAAGATCAACGGTGACATGCAAATAAGGAGCATCTTCTACTTTTATATTCCCAGCTTAAGTGCTGGGTTAGAAAGACATGTGTCCAGCAGATTAAGCAATTGGTATACAGTTAATAACATAATAACAGCAGCTTCGGAAGAAAGTTGAGATACACAGACCAGAATAACATGTGTATATGACAGGTTTTCAAGTGGAAAAGGCACAAGTAGTATACACATCTTCAGAGTCGTATACAGAGGAAGTAAAAAAGGACTGTGAAGATATTACCAAAAGTGCAAAGTTGGACCCACCAAAACCAACCCCAAGAATGTGAACAGAAGCGTCCTCTTTACATCCACAGATGCTACTTGGTCAATCCACAGCTGTGACACATAATCAGCAATGAGAAGGTAAAACAAATAGAAAAATAGCTTGAAATTATCGGGAAGAGAATATATTTCAATGAGGGAAAAGATCAAGAAACTTATTTAAAGCAGTGATCATTTTTGCAAGCAGGGATACTAAGTTGTTGACACATTGCACATTCAGAAGGGAAGTGAAAAGAAGGAATTTGTTTTTCGAATTGGAGAAGAGAGAAAGGGAAGGAAGGAGTGTGATTAGACACTGAATAAAATTAATATAAAGATTATATGGTTCATAATGCCTACTGTCTTTTTTTCATCAGGTAAAATTAATGCCTACTGTCTTTTATTACATTACAAATTCTCATCGAAGGAGGTTTTCCCTTCACAGCACATTTGTACAGAAAAGGAATTTGATGTTTTATTCATGACCCAATCCATCCTTCTCCTTTCCTTTCTCTCCCGATACTCAATTAAAAAAAAATGCAGTCATCCTGCTCCTCTCCTTTCCTCCCTTTCTTTCAATCCAAAAGATCTTACACATTTGGACAGAAAAGAAACTTAATGGTTTTCTTCGTAATCCTATTCATCCTTTTATCTCCTTTTCCTTTCCTTCCCTTTCTCTCCCTAAAATCATTTCGAAAAAGAAAATTTTATGCTTCCCCCCCTACTCCGCTTCTCTCTCCTTTTCTTTCAATCCAAAAAATATCTGATTAGCATCAATTTAGGAATTACCATCTCCAATACCAAAATCCTTATCATAATAGGAATACCATAACTACATGTACAAGTTATGACAATGTTAACCATAAAGCAGAATAATCATTTGACATTGTTAATCCAAACCCATATACCAAAGGATATATTTTGATGAGTAAAGGAAATAGAGTTCATTATAAGCTTTACTTCAACAGGTGTAAGAATTAACAACTATTACCAAGTTAAACAATCAAGTCTCTGATTCACAGAATGTTGTACCTGTAGCATCAACAGAGAACACATGCACTAACATTGACAAATGACAACCATAGCATAAAGAAAGAGTGCATCCTCGACAGTCTCTATCGGTTCTAGAAGCCTGAATTTCATTTTACTGAGTTTACCTGACAGATTAGATCTCCAAAAAGTGTCAACAATGCAGATGTAACTGCTTTTGTCCATACTGGATACTTCTCAAGAAGAGATAAGTACCTACAGCAAAAGTAACAATTATTCTTGAGCCACGATGACACAGTTAAAACATTGTCAAGATATGACTAAAAAATGAAGCTTTATAGTATTATACATATTATTCCTATGTTTATATTATTCCTTCTTTTTCATCAAGTTAGAGCATATATTATTCTTTACTGTGAGGATTCAGCACAATTGGTTGGTTTTATGTTGGCTGGCAGCGTATCGCAATTCCTCTCCTTTATCCAGGTTTGGACCAGCAATGTGAGCAAGTTCACACATGCAAAGATTCATATAGCCAACACCGACTTATTTGGAACTGAGGCGTAATTTGTTGTTATTGTAGAGTATATATTATTCTTTAAGAAATAGAAATGGTGATAAAGACATAGCAAGCCTTTAAAGGAAAAGAAAAAGGAAAGAGGGAATAGCCACTGACTAGAGAAGTCAAGCAGATAAGGGATCTACCATTTCATCTGACCGCACGAAAGGCGGATAATGGGTACATGCATTCCAACAGGAACAAGGAGAAAAGTGAAAATAAATACAGCTAATACTTGACAACTCTAAGTTAGGCTGTTAGGGTCTATAAATAATTTTGCTGAAAGGACGATCTTGTTTTAGAAATTAAGCAGACACAAACGTAAGTTGCTTAATTTCATGAGGAGATGCACTTCATTGGTGAACATGTTCATGTTTTGCTGACTCCATCCATGGATTCCTTAATCCTTAATATGCTGGAAAGCTAAAATTTACTAACAATATCTGTTAGATTACCCAATATCACCACATCTTACTCTTAACTTGTTAGAGAGAAGACATATTTATTCATTATTCCATGGAACCATTTGCCAGTGGGTGATTTCTTAGGACCTGTTTCTTTTTGTAAGCCGGCCACATGAAAGTATTATGAGGTAGGGTGGTAAGACTCAACTACAGGGAAGCATCTGTATGGCTCTATCACCTCCAATATATATTGGATTTTGTAACTTCATCCGCTGGGAAAGCATAAGACATTTACTCATTTATGTGGGGCTCCCGTGGAATGTTAATTTTAGAGTAGATTCCTACGAAACTGAAAATTATACCAATCTGACAAAAAGAGAATGCACGTTATGGAAACCATAACAATAAAGGATACTCTTTGATATTGATGCAGCACAAAAGATTCTCTTCTTCAAATATTTCGACATAACATGTTTTTGCTTTGATGTAAAAAGGAACTTATTTTATTATTTTCAATTGCTTTGACAAGATAAAACTCCAGAACAAACAATCTCTATGAGAAATGATATAATGACGTCCTGAAGTGCCTACACTGAAGAAGATATCTTCCATGGCATTTGAAATGCCAAAACCAACATACACACACTCTCGTTGCATGAATTGAGTTCCATTACAAATTTAGTTCCTATTTTGTTAATGAAATGAGTTCCATCACAAAGTTTAAACTAGATAATGTTTTCGACAGACCAGTTAGATGAATAGAATGGAGTCATGTACAATGTGTGCCGGCACCGATAACTTCATATGCAATATTAATACTTTCCTTCCATCTATAAACGGTTTATCAATTTTTCAGTTTTCAGTAAAATACCCTTCAAACAACCCAGTGCATCAAAAGTGCTAGTAGTACTTAATACGATTACAAGCATTTGGCTAACTGAACAATTTTATAAAAAACTCAACATGCCAAGATTATAAAAACCAGAAATTAGCAGGAAAAAAAATTAATTGGTTCCAACTATTTCATTTAAAACAAAATTACCAGGCAAGCAATGACCAGTTCTTCCCACCCTCACCACCACCACTGTTACTTCCATTGTCACCACCACCTGAATTTCCATCACCGGAACCTCCATTCCCACCACCACCGTCGCCTGAAACCGCTGACATCTGAAAATTACTGCTAGTAACGAAGCGTCTAGCCCAAACATCAGAAAGATACAAACTTTTCAATCCATTAGTTGAAGCACTGACAGATGAAGAAGAAGAAGAAGAAGAAGAAGAAGACAGTCCGAGTCGGGTTGTATGAAGTGGGTTTGGCTGTATTCGGGTTCGGGTATGGAGTTGTGAAATGGGAAATCGGGGAAACCCCACGACCCGCAATGATAAGAGAGAATTGCTGGTGAAAATTGAGGCGTTTGAAGCCATTGTTAACTGCTCTTTCTGCTTCGAATGGATAGCTTTTCGGCTTCAAGAATGTCTTCCTTTTTGGGTTTTTTGAGGGTTTAAGAGTTTTTTATTTTATTTTACTGTAAAATGCTTTTTCTTTTTTTTGTGAGCTTTTAATTTGTGATGAATACGTACCCTCAAGTTCTTAATACAGCACATAGCCACTACAACTTATGCATCCGTGTGGTTTCAGTAAGTATAGCTGTTTGGCTATAAAATTTGAAGTCACTAATTATTATTTCATAGTTGTATGAGAATGTGCACATCAAACATTATACCTACACTATAAAAAAAAGGAAAAGGGTCAAAAATACCCCTCAATTTTGATTTATTATTTGATTTTACCCTCGTCGTTAAAATGAAGTTAATTTTACTCCTCCCGTTATTAATTTCACCAAAATTACCCCTCATTAGACGAAATTCCCAAAATTGACGCAAATTACCCGAATTTTAAAAAAAACCTTATTCCCTATTTTTAACCCAATGACCTGACCTCTCTAGGATAACCCGGTTAACCCAATGCCCCTGTTGCCCATTCCCATTTACCCATTCTAACCATAGGGGAAAAGATATAAACCAAAGACCTCTGGATTTCTTCTATCATTACAGAAAAAAGCTTCTACTATCTGCAACTTCCACATCTTCATCTTCTTCATCTCCCCAATTGTACACAGATTCAATTACTAGAAGCAGTTGATCATCCAGATACCTCCGCAACAACATTGTCTCTTGACTTCCATCTATACTACCTTCCGCTCCCTCACATCGTCGTCCCCGCCCATCACCGCCTCCGTCGTCGAATCTCTCCTCCGATTTCCACGGCGATCAACTGTGGCGGCGATAGCACAGACGATAGCAGATTTCAGCAGCACAAATGATAGGGCAAGTAGCACAAAACAAAGGAAGAAGAAAAGGAGAGCAGAGAAAGAGACAAAAGTAGCGTCGGAAGCGGCGACAATTTAGCCAAGAGGTGAGAATCATCGTGGAACGGAAAATCGGAGATGGATTTTGAATTGTTGGGTGATTTTCATGTCGAATTGGGAGTAAATTATGGGAATGAGGGTTGTTGTTGTTGTGGGAATGGGTAACATGGCATTGGGTTAATTGGGTTAATCGGATTATCCTAGAGGGATCGGGTCATTGGGTTAAAAATAGGGAATAGGGTTTTTTTTAAAAAAATTTGGGTAATTTGGGTTAATTTTGGGAATTCCGTCTAATGAGGAGTAATTTTGATGAAATTAGTAATGGGAGGGGTAAAATTAATTTCATTTTAACGGCGAGGGTAAAGTCAAACAATAAATCAAAGTTAAGAAGTATTTTTGATCCTTTTTCCTAAAAAAAAAAGAAAAGGAGAAATACTTGTTTTATCATATTCAACTCACATGCACACATATATGGATACACGTGAGTTAGGCGTACAAAGGTAATATTTTTTACTTTTCTTTAAGTAAAAAATAAAATTCAAATATGACAAAAAATTTAGACAAAATCCTAACAATTGATTGGGGCGAGGATGAACTTGTTTCTTTACCGGTCTATCCCTCAAGCATATGATGGTTCTTTGAATACTTAACATTTATGCAGTGGCGTACCCACATGGTAGTAAGGGTGTTGTCAGAAAAAAATATTGTATATACAAGTAAAATTATACACGAAATGATTAAATAATATATTTTGGACACCTTTAACATAACAAGTTGTTATAGCTCAGTGGTTTCAACTCCTTAGAATGATGAAGTGTTTGTGTGTTTGAATCTCACTAGTTCTACTTTTTTAAAAGAGTTTTTGTTGTGCTATTTTTGGACACCATTTGTAAAATTTATGAATCTGTCACTGCATTTATGTTGGTCCTTTGAATACTAACATTTATGTTAGTCCTCCTGTTAAGAATTATATCAGTCATATGTCGTTCTCTTCACCTGCAATAAAATAAAAAATATTTATTATCGTAATTTATGTGGCATAGTTTAAATTTTAAGAGTTAAACCTATTTAATTTGATTGTGGATTCATACATGAACTGTTTAAATTTTTAGAAATAAAATTTACATTTTTAAGAACCGTGTAAAATTTATGTTACAGTTCAAAATATTTGGATGACTACTTCGTCTGGCATAAACCATAAAACCACCATGAAATGAGTATTAATGAAAATGAATTTCTTGCACATTTTCCGATTTCTTCTCATTTACGAGAATTTTATTTTAACTTTCAATACCTTCATTTAATTGGTGGGTTATTTTTGCCAAAGCAAATAAAAGTTCGATGATACCATCAAATTCAAAACGCCATAACTGAAAAAACATACATAATCACACTCGATATTTACATTAAATTGTATTGAATTATTATGTTTGATGATAAAATTGAAATATCGCGTATAAAAAATTAAAAAATATATATGAATATATCATATAAATTGAAGAATACAAGAAGAAATGCAAAGTAGGTGGGAAGTTAAAAGAAATTTTAGAGAAATATTACTCTAGTATATACAAAACTAGCGAATATATCCACGCTTGGCAAACATCAACTTTGTATGATAGATTCAATTCACATGTTTTTTTTACTATCATCCTTAATATATACTAGTATTTTAGTCTACAAAATACCTTAAATGTAACAAAGAATAATGATAAATGCAACGAAAATAACTTAGAAAAGAGGTTTTAAGTGCACCTTAGATGAGGTTTCCTTCATGTAACTCATAGAGGGGACAAAAAGGAGGGTAAGATTCGAGGCAGACGCAGAACCAAAATTTAAAATTTATGAGTTTAGAATTGTATTTTATTTTTATTTTATTAGATTCTAAATCAATAATTTTTACATATTCAATGAAAATTTGAATCAAAGTTACTGAATTCGGTTGAACCCTTAATAAACACACTAGCTTTGGCCAACACTTATTATATCAAAATGGAAAATATTAGTACTCTATATGGTTTTAATATACTAATGCTATAATTCTACTCCATGTTACTTGTCATCGTTCACTTCAAATCCTAGAAAGTAATTTCACTTGGTAGCCTACTTTTAAATAGTCAATTAAGGATTTTTAAAAATCCCTTAATTAAGTAAAGTTGGATGACTTTTGAAACACAAAACAAAATTAAGTGATTAGTTAGTGATCTTCTTGGCATTTAACTATTTAAATCAAGTAGATCTTGTTAAAAAAGCTTGAAATAATTGGCATGAATAAAAATTAGCAATTCAAACTTCAAAAAATTTACTTTCAATCAAATATACATATTTGTAATTTATCTTGATAAATCAAACTTAATAAATGATTCTCTAAAGTTTAGTCTTAACAAGCTAAACCCCCAAATAGAAAATATCAAAAGTTTAGCTTTTGCAAGCCAAATGCATATGCTTGAAATTAATATTGAAATATCTAAGTTTATAGATTTTTATGTTCCTTGCTGTAACTTAAATAGTGATCCTCATACAAAAGTGCAACTTTATGCCACTCTCACCACATATGCCTAAAGTTTCCTTTTTCTTTGTTTGTTTTTAATCTTTCTTTCCTATAATTCAATTTTAACTTCTATTATAGACCTAAAATTTTTGTCATGATTCATGAACTAATAAACTTTATAATTTGTTTTCCCTAATTGGAATTGAAAAGTCTAGACCAGAAATAGCTAAATTGTAAAAAAAAATTGTATAAATTTTGACTATAACTTAAATAGTGGTTCCCAAATTGGCTATATGTGACACTTGGGCCAAATTCAAGTTTTCCATTTCTTGACATGACACTCAAGAAGTAGCAAAAGAGCAGTGACTGTGAGTCCTTATCTCATGAAACACATGCACCTGTCAATGTCTCAGTGGCCCTCTTCTCTCTGACCACCCCCACCCCCCACACCCACACCCCAAGGGAGAAAAAGGAACAAAGACCCCACTTTGATTGCTATTCCTCAAACATAATTTCATACATAAACACTGATGATTCTTTAAACTTTTGCTGTTTTCATCTTGTACCTTGTTCTTGATTCTGAAAGGCAAGTTTTTTTCAATCCTTTTCTTGAATTTATTATGTATGTTTACAAGGGCAACAAAACCCACAAAGGACTAATTGAAAAAAAAGTTTTTTTGTTCATAGCTTTATCTATTTTAGGAATATATTTTTGTTTTGTGCATGTGTTGAATGGTTGAGGTTTGAGAAAAAGCTCCGTTCTTGATTCTTGACTTATACAAAATATAGCACTCATTTCCTAAATTCTAGGAACCTTGAATTGCTCTTATTTTTTGGAAAAAATTTAAGCTTTGTGATTTTGGGGTTTGCTAGGATTAAGGTATTTAGATGTAGATTGGTAATAATCTATGTTTTACCTCTGTTTCTCTTTCTTGGTTGTTTGTATTTAGAGATGGTTGGTCCTTTTTGTGTGGCTGTGTTTTGTTTTTGGTTATGAATTTATCCAAACAAAAGTAGTGATTAAGATTGTCTTTAATTTGGGTTGGCATAAATTTGTGTGGCCTCTTTGAATTTCACTTTCTGCACCAGGGAAGTGCCCAACTTGAGTTCCACAAGCTCATAGGGTTCTTCTCTTTTTTCATTTTTTTCCCTATTGATTTTTCATCCCTTTTAGGCTTTAGCATAATGTTATTTTCATCTTCAATTGCTGGCTGGTAAATCTTTGTTTCCTATTGTAATGTTCAATGATTTAATGAATTGAATATTTTTAGTTTTAAATTTTATGATGTGCTTTCATTTTCCTGCAGAGATAATTGCTGAGGTCTTCAGGTCAGGTATACCACTGTTCTTAATCTGCAGGTTCATTAAAGATAAATTTCATTGTAAATGGGATGCTGAGGTTCAACGTGATCCTTTAAAGTCTCTCTGATTATTTGTTCATCCGCCATTTTGAGGTTGTAAGACCTAATAGTATTTGCGCCTTCTCAGCTAGTAATATCTTGGATGTATTTGACTAGAAATTTAGGTGATGTTCGAATCTCCGACATTCCTTATTCAAGCTGGCCTATCTTTTACTATTACACAAGTGATATTCATAAAATTAACTTTTCTTTGTTGTAATGCAATAACCTTTCCTCCTATAGAATTGAGCATCTATCACAATGTAATTTTTCAGAACTAAATGACCTTAAAAACCATGTGAAAGTTCTTTACCTTGTCCGTTTTATACCCTGTCATTGTCTTCCTCTACCCCGATCGTTGATTTTTTCTAGCATGAGCCCGTAAGCAGTTCTAGTGTAAGTTAGCATGATTGTATTTGTCCAAAAATCAACCTTTACTTCTCGTAGTTTACTTGACCACGTTTTTTTTCTACTTGAACCTTCTCCTTCTTGTTTTGCTTGGACATATTCTTGCTAAATGGAATTCACTTTATTTAGAAGTTCCATTTGTTCATGTAGTATATGTGAGTGCAATTGAATTACCTTAATTCTAGTACATACCTACTTTGACGAGCATGGAGTTTTAGTAAATAAAGTTTGAATAGATTGTTTTCAGATGTCACATCGGATTAATATGATAATGGTACTAGTTTATATTAATTTGAATTCCTATTTTTACAGAAGGAGAACTTTTATTTAAATTGTGAATCAAGTTTTTGGGATAGACTTACAAAAGACTCCCTCCGTCCCATATTAGATGGGCATCTTACTAAAAACAGTTGTCCCATATTATTTGATCATTTACTAAAACAGGATTGAATTAATTAATTTTTTTCCATTTTACCCCTACAATTTCCTTGGAATGTGAACAATTCCCAATACTAATTATTCCTATACTTTATGTATATTTTTTCTAACTTATTTTTATGTGCATTAATATGAACAAAGGGCAAACTAGTAAAGTTGATCAATCTATTAATGATTTCTTAATCACCGTGTAAAATAAAAAGTGCCCATCTAACATGGGACGGAGGGAGTAGTAAGTATAGCTTTTCCAAGAAGTAATAAGTTTTGCAAACTTTAGGAAGCCTTGTACCTTGAACAGTATTCTTTGATATTTACATTTTC